CTCTTGCTCATATGTTGTTTCATGAAATTCTTCTGTGTCTTCCAATTCCTTTCGATACAGTGACTCAGTATATTCCTTCCATCTTTTTTTAATATTTCCGGGATCATTTAACGTTCTGCTGAAAGCATCCTTGATTATAGCAACTTGAAGTTTGAATTTGTTCTTCAGTTCCTTGAGCTTAAGATATGCTGAGCGATGGCCAATCCTTCTTCCGCAAGGAGACTTAGCCTGATACAAAATTAGGAAAGGTGTTTAACAGGGTTACATTCTTCATCATACTTATTCAGCCCATATGCTGACCAGATAATTTAGGAAGTTGTACTATATGAAGAACATGGCATCAATTTTGAAGGAAGACTCATTAACAGCCTCAGTAAGCACATGACATGACCTTACTTGCCCAAAGTGAAGAGGACTTGAAGCACTGCAGGCTTCACTTCAACTTAAAGAAAAGTTTTGACAACTGGGCCAGTAAGCAACATCCTTGTTAAATGGAAAAAAAGATAAAAGTTATTAAAAAGTCATTTTACTTAGATCTAAAATCATTACCCATAGAAGCAACAGCCAAGAAATTGAATAACCATTTTATTTCATGGTTTAAACCTGCAAAAGATCTCTTCACAGTGTTGAAAAATTAAGATGTCACTTTGTGACCCAAGGTTCACCTAACCCAAGCCATAGTATTTTCAGTTGTTTCCATGTACTGCCAAAAGAACAAATAAATTTCTCAGAGGAAGAAATCTTAGCAAGAGGTGCATCTTAGCAAGAGGGACCAGCCTGTGAACACCATGTTTGGAAAGGTGGAAGATCAGCGAAAGAGGAGAACCCACAGCAAGATGGATGGACAGTGTGACTGTCTCAGTGTGACTGTCTCAAGTATGCCAGAGATCGCGATGATGGCCAGGCTACAGCAGGTGTCGGATCTGTTGTTCCTAGACCTGCTGTTAGTTAGGATTGACTGCGTGGCACTATATGACTTTTTCTGGAAATACTTCTGTTTTATGACTAACATTGATAGGCATATGACTCCATCCTAGACAACCTCTAGAAGATAATCAAGTTCTATTGCTAATAGTTGATTTAGCAAGGGCAGGAGTCTGCACTAAGGAAATCAGAAAGACAACCCTGTGTTCACACTGCTAAACATTTCATTCTTAAAACAGATCTCTTATAAAGGAGACCTCGTAGCATTGTTTCCTGTGACTAGTCTTGTCTTTCCTTCTTTGTACTCTTTTTGGCTTAAATTCTTCTCATGAATGCATATTCGTGACGTTGGTATGCAGACCTTCAACAAGACGAATTGACACTGACTGTAAGAGTGGCTGAAGTTTGTCGGAGATAATGAGGATGGCACAGGAGGGGCCACGTTGAGATCTGTCGTTCATAGGGTCACTGTGAGTCATACTCAGCTTGATGGTATATAAAAGCAATTGACTGATCTGTCTTAATCTTTTTATGTGAATCCACATGTGTGTTTATGCTGCAAGCACACATAGAAGTAGAATTTTATTTTTTTCCCTGAAAATATATTTCTATAAATATCTAATAATTTTCTTTCTAAGATATTTTTAAGGGAGTGATCACAAGACAATTATAATTATTTAATAATTTTTTTATGAGTTTACATCCTTTACTTTGATAATTTTGTTATCTGATGTCAAGAGAACTCAGGTGGCCTAGTAGAGAGCGAGCTGTGCTGCCACCCCAGAGGCATGTGCTTTGTATGAGCTGGCTGCTCTACGGGCGAGTGATGGACAGTCTCTCTCTTCTTGTGTGACATACGGCCTCTGAAAACCTGCTAGAGAGTAAGCTGTGAGTTGGTTCAGACTCAATGACAGGAAGTTTTAATACTTTTAGTTTTACTTGATATAAATGAAAAAAAATTATTCTCTTACAGAACCTTCAAGAAAAGAATCTTTTGGAAAAATCAGAATTGGAGCAAGCTCTTGAACAATTGACATGTGTTAATCATCAGGTAACCTAGCAAAGTGGATGTGGGTTGTTCTATGTTGTTTGAATGGCTTTTAATTATAATTTTAATATGCTGCATACATTTTTAGATTATAAAATAGTATGCTTATGGGAGTATTGTATTAGTGGTAGGAGTGTTTACTGTGATGACTGAATACTTACTTGGGTTAAAACCATATTTCTACCACTTGTTGCTTATGGGGAAATGGCTTAATGATTCTCTTATTCATAAAATCACATTCTAGTACTTAGCATTTTAAGTTATTGTGAAAATTAAATTAATACATATAAAAATCTTGGACACATATTAGAATCACTCAGAAGACATTAGATAGTATTCTCTTGGAAAAAAACCGGTGGCCGACCACTTATACTCCTGATAGCTTTCTCTGTTGTTCTGTACCATTGAGTTGGAACTGTCCCATAGCTAACTGACCCTCTGCTGGGTTTTCAGAGGCAGCTAATCAAATGGGGAAAGATTGCCTGTCCTTTAACCTGTGGAACAGCTGGTGAACACAGACCGCGTGCCTTCAGGATTGCAACACAACTTCTTGCCATTAGGCCACCAGAGCTCCCTGATACCTTTTTCTAGGATTCTGTTGTTGTGGTGTACTGTAGATTCAGAACCAAACCATAGCTGATTCTTCAGCAAGTTTTCAGAGGCAGTTAATTTCACAGGAGGAGATTACCCATCTTTTTCCTGCAAAGCAGCTGGCCTTGAACCTCATGCCTTCAGGATTACAGGGGGCATTTTAAGAAGAATATTGAATGTACCATGGACTGCCAAGAAAACAAACAGATTCATCTTTGAGAGGGTTAAACCAGGCTACTCCTTGGAGGCAAGGATTCTGGGGCTTCGTCTGACATACTTTGGATATGTTGTAAGGAGAGACAGGTCCTTGGAGAGGGACATCATGCTTGGTAGGGTGGAGGGACAGCGCAGGAGGGGAAGACCCTCTATGATGTGGATTGATTCAGTGACTGGGGTAATCGGGATGGGTGTGTCAGAGGCAATGCGATTGGCACAGGATAGAGCAGGGTTTAGGGCTGTTGTACATGCGGTCGCTATGAGTCGCAAACGACTATGAGTCGCAAACGGCTCGACGGCACATACAACAACAACAACATGTGTGTTTTACCATTGGTAATACTGACAGCGAAGGAGAGGAAGACCCCGGATGAAATGGATTAATATAGTAACTGGGACATTGGTGGTAGGTGTATCGGAGTTAGGGAGACTGGCTCAGGACAGGGAAGGCTTGAGAGCTGCTATACCTAGGGTAACTATGAGTCTCAGACAACTGATGGCACATAACAATAATAATACTTAACATACAAATGCAACACAAATATAGAGGCGTTTATATAAAACAGAAGGGATCATTCCATACCATATGGATTTCTTTTTTCACGATATGCCATGTATATTATATGGTAATTGTGTATTACATCTCATTAATTGATATTCCCCCTTAATCTTTTTCAAGGCTGCATATTAGCAGTTTCTCATTTTAAGTTCCCCTGTTTGTTTGGAGAGTGAACCCAATCTGGGTGAGTGGGTAAGTTAAGGGCCAAGGCCAGTGAAGTGTTTCATTGCTGTCATTACTGCTTTGTGCCGTTGAGTCTCCTTTCCTCTGGGAGCCCTGTGAAGAAAAGGATGAGCATGTATTTCAGAATAAAGGATAGGAAATTAGAGCCCTATTTTTCCAGAATGAAGAATTATCTTTAAGGTGTTGACATCTCTAGATGTTAGTAGGTTGCTTTGGACTCTAATAATAGTAGCTCCATTCCTAGTTATATGCCCTAGATGGATTCAGGAAACTGTGATCCCTGAGCCAAATTTAACTTCCATCTTATTTGTTAACATGAGTTTTAATGGGACACAGCCATATTCTTGTTAATGTATTCCCTATGCCTGTGTAGTAGTCACAACAGACCACAGACCCACAAAGCCCAAAATACTCTCTATTCTTTATAGAAAAAATTTACTAACTCAGCCCTAAACAAACATGTGGCCATGTGTACCAAAAAGGTACCAGTTTATACTGCTAGGAGCATCACATGCTTACTAAAACTTGTTCTAAGTTCTTTCTGATGATCTGATAACTATAACATGACATTTCACTGTGATTTTGAGTTTTCTTTTTAGTGAAGTTGAGAGTATCTTACTTTATTAGACATTTGTAATTTTTTCCTCCATTAAGTGTCAGTTCAGATCATCTATTGATGCTCTTTGGGATCAGTGGAAGTGCAGCCAGGTTGTTTCTTGGAGGCAAAGATGGCAAAGTTCATATATCATAAATTGGATATGAAGCTAGGTGAGGCTGTTTCTTAGGAAGGGACATTATACTTGGAAACATGGAGTGTCAGCAAAGGAGAGGAAGACCCCCTGAAGAAATAGATTGACATGGTGACTTCAGCAATGGGCTCTCGTGTATCAGAGATGATGAAGGCACAGTATAGGGCAGGGTTCACGAAGTAAGCTGTTCATCTAAAGTCATGCTTGACTTGATGGCACCTAACAACAAGATGTGGATGTCAGGTCATTCTCACAATTAATGGCTTGTATTTTTGGTTTCTTTTTGGCTGAAGATAAACATCTTTGATAAAGATGTTCTTGTCTATATTGTCTTTCTTATCTGCATTTTCCTTCAGAAATGAACACTTCTTAGGTCTTGAATAGTGATTAGGAGCTCAAACTCTATAAAATACACTATACTAGGGGACAGGCACAAGAACAATTACAGTAACAACATAATAGAAAGGAAAACGAAAATCAGTTTAGATATCAGTGTGAAGAAATATTTAAATGGTTGTTATTTCTACAATAGCAAAAATGAATGAATAGCTACAAACATCAGCATGTGTGAACCTTACAAATATGTTTACCAGAAAAGCAGGTCACAAATCAAAAGATAATGTTATTACTTTGTTTGCACAAAATTCAAAAGCATGATACGCTAAATGAAAGCAGGGTTTGAGAAATGGTTGATTCAGAATGGTGGTTACTGTTGGCAGAGATTGGAGAATGGTACTTGGAAAGAAAGGTAGAGGGTTGGCAAGAGAGAGAAAGACCCTCAACCAGATGAATTGACAGTGACTACAGCAGTGCACTTAAGTATGTCAGAATGATGAGGACAGCACAGAATAGGATATGTGTCAGATTATTGTTCACAGGATCACTATGAATTGAACTTGACTTGATGACACCTAACAGCATTTATTCTGTTTTCTTTTCCCAGAACTTTCAGTAATTGGATTTAGACCTTTTGAAGAGATCACTGAAAGAATTATTATTTGTTCTCCATTGTCTCTATTGTTTACTCTGTTCTGGGAGGGAGATTTTCTCAACTCTTAACTCTTTTCGAAATTACTGGTTTTATTTCTAATTTCTAAATGTGTTTTCTAGATAAAGGGGGGGGGGAAGAGTTCTTGTTGTTGTGGTAAGGTGTCAGATCTGAACCCTAGCCTAGCCTGGTCTATTCTATGCCATCCTCATCATCTCTGACACATTTGGGCCCATTGCTGCCATCACTGTGTTAATCCATGTCATCAAAGGTCTTCCTCTCTTTTGCTGACCCTCCACCTTCCTAAGCATGATGTCCACTTGAGTTCTTAGGTCCTAGGATATGAACTGCCAGTCTTTATGCTTCACTCTTCCAAATGTTGAGGCTCTTTGGAGTAAATAAATTGGTTGTTTACTGGTATTCTGGGTAGTGATTGTCAACAAGAGTCAGGTCTACTCAGGGGTTAGGTGTTTGGCTGTGCCCAGAAGCCTGACAGTTTGACCTCCCCACCCACTCTGTGGGAGAAAGATGTAGCTTTCTGCTTCTGTACAGATTATTGATTTAGCACCCCTACAGGGCAGTTGGTGTGCTGTCTGGGAGAGACCCTTTTGGTTGGAATTGACTTAATGACAGTGAGTTTGGGTCTTTTCAGGGACAATTGACACTACCTGGAGGCATTTTTGGTTATCTCATTTGAGAGGGACGTGAAAGAGTTCACCGCCTCAAAATGTCTGCGGTTCCTTAGTTGAAAGACTGCTGTAGATTATGATTTTCCCCCACAAGTCAATTAAGTCGCTTCTCTACTCTTACTATTCCCTTTGTCCTTATGATTTTATACTGTGTTTCTTTCTTTACTGCGAATTTTGGGGTTTGTCCATAGGAAAAGGAGATAAAAACATGTCTAGCCAATTTAAAAGTTTGACTGAAAGACATTTATTTACTTATTTAACAGATAAGTCTTGCAGAGGGTGCAGCCTGAGTGCTCTTTGGAGGCAAGAATAAAGAAGCTTTGCCTCACATACTTTGGGCATGTTGCTAGGAGGGGCTATTCCTTAGAGAAGCGCATGATGCTGGGAAGGGTTGGGGGTTGGTGAAGGAGAGGAAGACCTTTGACCAGGTGAATTGACACGGTGAGTGCTGTAAAGGGCTTATATGTGTCAGGAAGTGTGCGGATGGCATGGGATAGAAGAGGGTCCAGATCTTTTGTTGACAGGGTCACTAAGAGTCATGCTCAACTCGACGGCACCTAACAGCATTTCTTAGCTGAGTTTTACTTATTTAATTAATCACTTACTCATTTTTTTCCTACCTAGAACTTCTTTTTGTATATGAAATGAAGTAGGACTATAATATTTTGCTCTCCAATAAATCACCATTGTTTCTACCCTATTTTTTAAAAGCTTATTCTTTCCCTATTTGCCTAAAATAACTACATTTTCTGAGTTCTCTCTCTGTGCAGTTTTTACTCTACTCAGATTATTCTTTTTGTCCATTTCTGTTTGAAATCCTGTTTTAAGTGTAATAGCTTTTTAGTTTGTTCTTTTCTCTTTAGGTATTTTCTCTTTTTTTGCCTAAAGTTTAGAATCGGTTTATGAAATCTAAGCCATTCCTTTTTCTGCAAAAAAAGTTCTCTGAGGATTTTTATTTAATTTAATATTACTTAATAGAAAATTTGTTCTCTTTATAATATTGTGCTCCCAGTTAAGAACATGGTGTATCTTTACAATAAGTCAGCTTATCTTATATGTTCTTTCAGAAAATTTCACCATTTACTTATATAATTGTCACCCATTTTCTGTTTTGAGTCTTTCCTATCCTGTTTTTTAGAATTTTCAGTTGGCTACTGTCCTCTTTAACCTTTTTAATGGTTGTTACGGATGTTGTTGTTATGTGCCGTTGAATCGCTTGAGACTCATAGTGACCCTATGTACAACAGCCCTAAACTCTGCTCTATCCTGTGCCAATCACACTGTCTCTGATACACCCTTACCTATTACCCCAGTCATTGAATCAATCCACCTCATAGAGGGCCTTCGTCTCCTGCGCTGTCCCTCCACCCTCCCAAGCAGATGTCCTTCTCCAAGGACTGGTCCCTCCTTAACAACATGTCCAGAGTATGTTTGATGAAGCCTCAGAAACCTTGCCTCCAAGGAGCCACCCGGTTTAACCCTCTTCAGGATGAATCTGTTTGCTTTCCTGGTAGTCCATGGCATCCTCAACACTCTTCTCCAACACCACAGCTCAAAGGTATTAATTCTCCTTCTGTCCTCCCTAGTCATTGTCCAACTCTCTGATGCATACCAAATGATTGCAAAGACCATGGCCTTTATCAGATGCACCCTAGTCTCCAAACAGACACCATTGCTCTTCAGGACTTTGGAGAGGTCCCTAACAGCAGACTTTCCCATCGCAGTACATCTTTTAATTTCTTGGCTCCTGGTGCCAAGAGTGTTGATTGTGGAGCCAAGCAGATTAAAGTTGTTAACAATTTCAATCTCTTCACCATCCATCCTGATGCTGCCAGTTGGCCCACTGGTGAGAATATTTTTCTTCTTGACATTGAGCCTCAATCCATATTGAAGGCTGCAGCCCTTGGACCTCTGCAGCAAATGCATGAGGTCCTCCTCAGTTTCAGCAAGCAGGGTTGTGTCATCTGCATAACACCAATTTTCCACCAATCCTGATGCTGCATTTCTCCTTATAGAGCCCAGCCTCCCAGATAATCTGTTCTGTGTACAGGTTGAAAAGGACACAGGTTGAGAGAGGACACATCCCTGGCGTATGCGCTTCCCAGTTTTGAACCATGCAGTGTTTCCTTGCTCTGTTCTGATGACTGCCTCTTGATCCAAGTATAGGTTTCGCGTTAGCACAATTCTTTTAAGTTGTTCCATCAATGACACTGGCTGCAATTTTCACCATTTGTCAGCATTCTCATTTTCATGCTGCCTGTTTCGTTTCCATTGACCTAACTTCCTTGAACCTTTCCCCTAGTACTTTCTTATCTTTGCTTTTTGGTAAATGTTGACCACTTGGTCTACTAGTGTCTAATAGTTAAGGAGCTTATTTTATGAGCTGCTGTGTCATTTGGCTGAAAAATTATCTCCTCCTGGAGTTGCTTTGGTGCCACATTTCAAGCATAACTTAGGGCAATCGTTTTAATAAGTCTGGTAAATTTGGTCTTTTTAGAAAAATTGAATTTTTTTAATTGTTCTACCCTCTATTTTGTCCATGGTCAGAATGGTCAATAGTGGAAGCTCTATGTCATCTAGTTCTTCTTATCTCAACTTAGAAGAGGCTGAATATATTCTTTTTTACCTTTCCTTCTATTTGAATGATCCTTGGAGGAGGAGTGAGACATAAATATATATGATGCCAGTTATGATATATAGAACTTAAAGAATATCATGACTTTTAAAATGTTTTATGTAGGTCTAACTGATTTCTTTAGCTTCTTTTAGAAGTATTATTAAAGAATACCTAAGAAAAAATATATATACTTATTAATTTTTTATTTCAATTATAGCTTGAAAATGAAAAATGTGAATTGAAGTCAAAAGTGTTAATAATGAGTGAAACAATAGATTCATTAGAAAACAAAGTAAAACTCCAAACTCAGAAACTTAACAGTGCTGCTGGTGACTCTTCTCAACAGAAAACAGAGGTGAACTCACTTAGGTAAGTCTGTTAAACGTTTTGTGTTTCACTTCTGGGAACATGTTGTGATTATGTCAAGTTCACATCTGTGGCACTTTGGATTGGGCCTTTGAATGGTACTTGTCAAAATAGGTCTTGAGGCAAGATCACTGGGGGACTTTGAAAATGTTAATGTAGAGACTATTCCTTACAATTTTTGGTTTATTCCGTGAATGTGGGTGGATTTTTAATATATTTTTATTTTTAATGTATTTTTAAAAAACATCCTAGATCAGTATGAGTGCAGACAAGTTTTCTGTACACATCTCCTTTAGAAATCTCCTTTAAAATTTCTTCAGATCATTTGTACTTCATTATGTAGGTCTGCTTGAAAATCATGTGTCAGTGAAATGTTGTAAAGTCCAAATATCCGTGTTCTTCTTTTTCTTATTTAATATATATCTCTGTCACTTTACCTTTGTCTCTAAGTAAATTTTAGAAGAATTTTTATGCTGTTTTCTGTTGCTTTCTTTTTATCCCAATTTCTTTTCTTTTGTTATACTCTTGATGAGATGGATAACTCAGTGCCTAGGGTAAAGGTGGCAGGTGTGTCAGAGACAGTAATGTTGGCACAGGATAGAGCAGGGTTCAGAGCTGTTGTACCTAGGGTGACTGTGAGTCGCAAGCAACTCAAGGGTACATAACAACATCATAAAGATACTTATTTATATTAAGACTTGTAGTGTACTTAGTATTGCATTATTATATTCCTAGATCGCTCTTTATCTAGGTAGAGAGTAAACAAAGTGAAGATAAAGACTAGAGGAATGTTGTCCTGGGAAGACATCCACGACAACTATGAAGCAGCCTTTTGATTAGATGCTATAAGTGGATATACTTTTTCTTCTTGTGTTGGTCACACAGAATTTACTTTTGTTTTAGATACAGAATAACTAGGAATTATTTTTCAATTCATCAAGTATTTAAGGAGTCATTTCTCTTGTGTCACAAGACTGTTCTCCACACTAGACTAATGAAGATTAGTAAGATATACCCTTTCTCTTAAGGATGTCATCTCGATTATGATGTTTAAATTGATGCATCATCAAATATTCTACTAAATTCTCTTTCTTAGAAATGAAAATGTACTCAAGGCAGAGAGAGGAGTCCATAGTTTGGTAATTAGGGAAGTACCCTGTGGAGATGATCATTTAGCTAGATATCCAGTGATATTCAAGGCATCCTCAAGTGAGTAAGATTAGTAACTTCATTTTAGAAGGAAGGAGCACTGGAGGGGGGATTGTATAACAATGAAAGAATTATTTTTTTCTTCAAAGAGAAAAACAAACTAGGGGGAGGTATGGACAGGGAGGAAAATGTGCAACAATGAATGAATGAATGAATGGAAAAAAATTAAATGGAAAGAATATGCTGTAAAAAAGTATATATGTTGCATTTAAAAAAGTAAATTATTATTATTTAAATTGAAAAGAAGAAAGAAGGAGCACAGTATATAAGAGGCCATAAAGCATCTAAACAATGGTGAAGTTGGTATGGGAAAATAGGCTAAATTATCAAGCTTATAAAAAATTTTGTATGACACGTAAGAGTGTCTGGATTTTACTTTATAAATCTCAAGAACAAACAGATGTTTAACCTTTGAGAATGCTAACTCTCTTTAACAAATGTAGAAGATGGGTCTGGAATCAAAAGAGACTAATGACAAATAATGGAGATTAAGGATCTGGATTAAAACAGCATGAGTGTGAATACTGAGAGACTAGATTTAGGAGACATGTTTTACCTAAAATCAGATGAATTAGAAGGCAACTTATATATAGAGATGAGAGGGAAATACAGTAATGCATACCTTGTGCACAGTAGACTGGCTCTTTATTGGTTTAGACATTTGTCAATTTAGAATACAGGCAATAAATATCCAATTGGGCTAAATAATTACAATAAGTAAAAAGATAGTAAAGGCCAGAAGAAGAGGATTACTTTGAACAATCAGAAACGGTTTCTAAATTACACTTATGGTAAGAAACAGTCAGAAAAACATTGTATCTGTGACATTAAATCACTCACAGAACTTGACAGTGAGATTGTGGAAAATTGTAATCATTATTTAAAAACAGAAAAACTAATCTAAAGGTGTTTATGAACAGTATTAGATATTGCAAAAAAACTGAATTAGTAAGATAGAAAACAGCAGCTTTACCCAAGGCTCAAAAAAATTAAAAACAGCGTGTTGTTAGGTGCTGTCGAGTCGACTCATAACGACCCAATGAACAAAAAATCTGAACCCTGTTCTATCCTGTGCCATCTTCACACTTCCTGACACACAAGAACCGATTGTAGCAGTGACGTGTCAGCCCACTTGATTGAGGGTCTTCCTCTCCTTTGCCAACCCTTCACCCTTTCCAGCATCATGTCTTTCCCCAAGCAACATGCCTTCAAGCAACGTGCCTAAAGTATGTGAGGCAAAGCCTCATCATTCTTTGCCTCTAAAGAGCACTCGGGCTGCACCCTTTCCTAGACATATCATTTGGTCCTCTTGGCTGTTCATGGGATGTTCGGTGCTCTTCTCCAACACCACAGCTCAAAGGCATCAATTCTTTTCCGGTCACCCTTATTTGTTGACCAGCTCTCAAATGCATAGCAAGTAATCAGAAAGACCATGTCCTGTATCACTTTCCGATTACTTGAAAAAGTAGTGTGATGGGATAGAAAAGTCATAGATCTAATACACAAGAACTAAGAGTCCCAAAAATATATAGCTCAGAAGTAAAAATCACAGGGGGAATTAAGATAAATAACAGCAGATAAAAGTAGGTAATGTCCAATGAAATATTTTTGTGTCTGGTAATAATATACATGATAGAACATTTTCTATAACAGTATTTGCGGTTTATTGGTTTTGGGGCTTTTTTTTTACTTTTATTGAAATAAGTTTAAAATTTTGGGTTTCCCCCCTTTTTTTAAATTTTTTTAATTAATTTTAATGGATATTTACAGAGATTCTGGATTTCTATTCATTCATTGTTGCACTTTTCTCCCTGCCCACCCCTCCCCCCCCAGTTCACTTCTGTCTTTGAAAAGAAGAAAGGAAAATTCCTTCGTTGGTATACAATTTCCCCTGTCCCCCGTCCCCCTCCTCCCAGCCGCCTGCCCCGAGTACACTTTATTATACAACCTTCATTCTGGACTCCTGTGATAACCATAATACCAATCATATATCACCTTTAATCTGTTCTTTCCCTCATCTGTTTCAATACAGTATACATAATTTATCCAGTTTTTCTCAGTCTTACCCCAACCCTCATGTCAGTCCCATTCTACAACAATGGCACTATGCCGTATTTGTCCCTTTGTGACTCTTGTTGCCAGCTTACTCTCTGGAATTTTTATACTTTTCTGGCTTTTCTTTTTCTTTTAATTAAAAGTTTTTCTTGTAATTCTTTTTCTTCACTCTATTTCCATCAAAATATACTTACTCCTAAATATTAGCTTTAAAATGTGCTTTATTCATACCACTCAGTCTCTCAAACCTACGTGCTCATCAACAAACGAATGGATAGAGAAGCTGTGGTATATTCACACAATGGAAAACTGTACTGCATTGAAAAACAAGGAACTCATGCAGTATTATTCAAAATGGGTGACCCTGGAGGACATTATGCTGAGGGGCTTTTTTTATGTACAATCAGTCTTCATACTTGGTGAAATGTGAAATTAGATTAGAGGAAGCCTAGTAACAGTTTATGCTATGCAAATGGTACAACCTTGCTTACTGAAATTGAAGAGGATTTGAAACACTTCCTATAGAAGATTAAAGACTACAGTCTTCAATACAGATTAAATCTCAACATCAAGAAAATATCCTCACCATTGGACCAATAGACAACATCATGAAAGATGGAGTACAGATTGTAGTTATCAATAATTTTATTTTACTTGGATCCACAGCCAACACTCATGTTAACTATAGACTGAAAATGTTGCCTTGGAAAAATTTGCTGCTCAGAACTTCTCCAGAGTGCTAAAGAGCAAGGATGCCAGTTTAAAGACTAAGGTGAGGCTGGTCCAAGCCATGATCTTTTCATTTACCTGCTATGCATCTAAGAGTTGGACAGTGAATAAGGATGACAGAAGAAGAGTCGATGCCTTTGAGTTGTGTTGTTGGAAAAGAGTATTGGATATCCTGTGGACTGCTAAAGGATCTAGACTATCTTGTAGGAAGTGCAACCAGGGAGCTTCTTAGAGGCACAGATGGTGAAATTTTGTCTTATATGTTTTGTGTGTGTTTTCAGAAGGGACCAATTCTTGGAAAATGACATTGGAGTTAAAGAGAGTGAGGCACTCAAAAAAGATGGCTTGATACAATAACTGTCAGTATGCTTGAGTATATCAGAGGTGGTAAGGATGGCACAGAAAAAAGGAAGGTTCAGATAATTTGTTCATGTTGTTGTTATGTGCTGTTGAGTGGCCTGTGACTCTTAGTGACCCTGTGTACAACAGCTCTGAAGCCTGCCTTGTCCTGAGCCAGTTTCACTGACTCTGACATACCTACCCTCATCACGCCAGTTACTGTGTCAGTCCTTCTCCTCTGAAGTCTTCTCCTGCGCTGTCCCTCCACCCTTACAAGCATAATGCTCCTAGGACCAGTCCTTGCTGGCCATGTGCCCAAAATATGTGACATGGAGCTTCACAACCCTAACCTCCAAGGAGAAACTTGGTTTCACCCTCTCCAAGACAGACCTGTTTGTTCTCTTGACAGTTCATGGTATGCACAAGATGCTTCTTCAGCACCACAACTCAAGGGATCAGTTCTTCTGTCATCCTTAGTTATTGTCCAACTCTCTGATGCATAGCAAGTAAATGTAAAGACCATCGCCTGGATCGGGCACACTTAATCTCTAGCCTCATGTCTTTGCATGTCAGCAATCTGGGGAGATTCCTGACAGCAGACTTTGCTAATCTAATTTGTCTTTTGAATTCTTGGCTTCTGGTTCCATGAGTGTTGATTGTGGAACTGAGCA